CTTTTGTTCGATGTTGTAAGTAGCAGAGAATCAGTTTCTTTGTACTGTATGGGCAGTTGGTGTTGAAGAGGTATTGTTTAGTAAGTAAAATTTCTTAGAATTTTTGCTTTTATTCATTTTACCCCATGCAAGGTGATGAAGTTACTAAGACACAAGTTGCTTCTGGGTGTAAAAGAGAATGAGAAGACTTTAGTGAGGAGAAAGGATAATAAAAAAGCAGGATTCAGGAAGACAGAAGGCTGTTTTCAGAGTGTTGTTATCATCTCATACCCTTATGTCCCAGTTTCTGAGGACTGTTGTCATATACCTGGGGTAGTTTTTACATTATAAAGGACCACTTACACTGACCATTTTTTGTTTATATGTCTGAGTTAGCACTTATGACTTTTGCTCGATGTTGTAAGTAGCAGATAGTACTTTTCCTTGTATTGTAAACTAAATGGTGGCAATTGAAGAGGTATAGTCTGGTGAATATTGGCTTGTGGTAATGGATGTCTTGAACCCTGTTCGATATATTAGTACATCCAAGAATGCTAGTTTTTTGTTGTTTTCTCTCCCTATTGAGGACTATATCAATGGTTTCATTCAATTTACATGAGCTGGACCTCTTCTTGATGGTGCCAGGAGGTATCATCTATGTATTTCAGTCATACAGTTGACTTTAGTGATGTTAATTTAAATTCCATTTCCTCAAAGTATTCCATGTGTATGTTAGTCATTGCTGGTGATAATGGTGATCCCATTGCCAAGCCTTCATCCATCCAGGCTCTAGTCAACTATGATTTTGGAAGTACATCCATTTACTGTTGTATCATCAGATATCTTCAAAAGATCAAAGTATATTTTTTAGGCAGATGGTTAATGTAAAATAGAGAGTTGGACCAAGAAGCAAGCTTTTTCCGATGCCTACATTGATCTGGGCATTGGCAGGTTGGCAATTAACAACTACCTTCAAGTATCTATCCCTTAGGGAGGACATGATAATAGAGAAGATTCTTCCAATGATTCCATAGCTCAAGAGCTTGTGTAGCAACCCTTGATGCTACACCTTGTCAGAGGCCTTCAAAATATCTAATACAATCATCCTTGAAACGTATTTATCATCTCAACATGCAATATTAAAGTTATACATTGCTACTATTTTTCAAACTCATGATGAAAAAATTCTAACTTGATTTTTGAAGTAATGAAAATTATAAGCCACTTTTTGATCTGTTAGAGCAAGATCTGAAGAGAGATCAGTTTCAAGGCAGCAATGATCTTGATTTTTGGAAGTGTAATCATAGACTACAGTATCATCTTCATAGATATTTACTAAAGATCTGAGAATGTCCCTAGGTAGATCACTCCTAATGACTAGAAAGGGAGTAGTGTTATTGCTGCCAATATTTTTCTTCTGGGAAAGACGACTCTAAGAATTGACGGATGCTTGAGAAGTGAATTTATTTCCATCTCTACAAATACTGAGAAATACTGAAAGAAAAAAACAAAGGCTTCACATTGCATACAAATCAATTGTCTAAAATAGCATGGAATTTCAAAGGTGACCAATGTGTTCCAGCCTACCTTGCGTGCTGTCTAAACAGAATTCAAGAGTATGTACAAGTCTTGCCAATCTTCTTTTCTGAAGTGAAACTGCAAAGTTGTTATAAATCCTGCTAAGCTTTTAAGCCAGGGTACCGCAACTCTGTTTTTGTTTTTCTCTCCAAAATATGACAGTTATGATGTGACCAGCACAGACTGAATTATGAAATCCCTATAAGTAGTTAACCTCCTTGCACCAGCCCCAAGATAGCTACAAGTCAGGAAAATAGGAGATCTTTGGAGGACACTTGCATTAGTCTCATAAGCTTCAGGAGTTTTACCATTCACAACAATATTCATGGACCTACTTGAAAGTATCCTGGGTATGATGATAAACTACATCTGGCAGCAAAGCTTCTGATCAAGAGGTTTTGAAGAGTATGCAACCACCTTTTAACTGCTGTTGTCCCCAAGTTCACCCTAACCCAGGGTCATAGCACCTGTTAAGGTCCCATCTGTGGGCAAATAGTTAAACCTAAAACTGGAGTCAAAACATTATGACAGTATATAAATAGATTTTTATAGTAAAATTACCAGTGTCACATTAAAAAAATATTTCATGCATTATGTTTTGAAAAAAAAAATACCAGCAATGCATTTTAGAAAAAAAAAATTACAATTTCAGAGGCTAGTTTGATCTGTATATATGCTCACACCCAATGAAACATACCCTAAGACCTTGTCTATGCACTGACAGAAACATTAGGCTGTGCACACATCTTATGCACACCACAAACACTTCATTGTATATTTCTGAAAAGAATATATAAATGTTATTTCATCTGACGTTCTGCTCCTACCTTTCCTTTAGAAAATATTTTTTTTATATATTTAATTTAAAAAATGTGTTGTGGTTTTTAAATGTTGGGAATGCTGGCACTCAGATAAACCCAAAAACCTTGATGGATCCCAACAAGGATGTCACAAAAGGAGATATGAGAAAAGTTCAAAAAGCAAATGGATTGACACAGAAAAAAATATTTGAAAAAGCTGGTGCTGGAATATTAAGAATATTGGTTAAAGGCAGGAAACCAACCAGATTGCCACCTTTAAGTAAACATCTAAAAACTGTTGATGAAGAATAATGTTATAGTTAAACTGAAGTTCATATTTTGTTATTCTTGTGTCTGTGTGGTAGACTTGAGTTCATTTTGTTAACATTTACTAAGAAATATTTAGCCTAATTTTGTGGTGGGGTCTGGAATGGATCCTAGTGATAAGGACATGTAATGTAAGCATTTTACATCAATGTGGTTAGCTGTAAAATATCAAGAAAGCAACAAAGAGGTTAAATGTTAAGTTTCTAGGAGTGTGCAAACCTAGGCTGACTAGAAGTTCAGGGCTGTCATAAGCAGGTCCATTAACACCGATCAACCAAGTGAGTTAAGTCGAGATAGTGAGGCCAGAATTAGGGACCATAGTGCAACTAGAAGTTTAGGGGTTTTGTAAGAACGTCCATTAATGCTGATCAACCAGGTCAGTTAGTCTGAGATAGAAATGCTGGAAGTGCTGGCATTGCGAGAAGTAAGGATTCAAGTTATCTAGACATAATAAAGGCTAGGAATGCAGGAAGATAAGGATCCGTAGTAGCCGGAAGTAAAAAAAAAAAGAGGGGCAAGAGTGCTGTAAGTACGAATGGATAGGAAAGCCTAACTAGTGTCCAGTTGGCATACCAAAAATAAGAAGACAGTAACTTAATACAGAACATGTCTTGACATCCTGAACAACGGTACAGACTTCTGTCATCTTTTCCCCCATCCTCATCTGCCTAAATTTTGTTGTGAAGTCGCCGGGTTATCTGAAGGGAGTGTAACATCAGCTGAGCCCACAAAATACAAAAAATCTCAAGAATAAATTCAGAATTATTATAAAGTGTAAAAAGCATAAAAGCACTGAAACAACTAAAAAGTCATTAGATTTATTATGAATCAAAATTAACTTTCTATATTAACTTGAATGGTGTGTGGCAAAGCAATGAAGGAAAAGTCAAGGTCATGATGATATATAATGTTTGCCCTTTGTCAAGTGGACAGAGTAGTGAAGGGCTATGATAGTATCTGTCTATCTATCTATCTACCTAAGTAAGGTGAGTAAGGTTACTAGGAAAGCCAGAAGCAGGGACCTAGTGTAGCCAGAAGGTCATGGCTGGTGTAAGCAGGTCCATTAATGCTGATCAACCATTTGAGTTTGGTTGAGATAGAAATGCCGGAATGTTGGCATGACAGGAAGTAAGGCTCTGAGATAGATAAACATAATAAATGCTAGGAATTCTTGAACTTAAGGGTTCGTGGTAGTCTGAAATAAAATAAGGGGCAAGCGTGCTGAAAGTAAGAATGGATAGGAAAGCCCATCTAGCATCCAGTTGGCAGACCAAAAATAAGAAGACTGTAACTTAATACAGAACCTGTGTTGACGTTTCCTGAGCAGTGTTACAGACTTCCGTTGTTGTTTCCTCCTCATATTGTGTTCGATGCGAAGTCACCGAGTTATTTGAAGGTAGTGTAACAAGATCAACTGAGCCCGCAAAGTACAAAAAGTCATTACATTTATTATGAATCTAAATTAACTTGCTATATTAAATTGAAAGGTGTGTGCCAACACAATGAAGAAAAAATCAAGGTCATGATGATATATAATGTCTGCTCTTGGTTTTGTGGACGGAGTAGTGATGGCCTATGATACTATCTATCTATCTATCTATCTTTAAAATGTATTATTTCATTAATACAAATATGACTAAAAAAGATAGGGGATTTAAAAATATTTTTCACCTAACTCCTAATGTATAACTGAGTTGGCACATTTTTATTAGGATTGAAGAACTTTTGTGCATTCCCAAGTAGTGTAGTCCAATCTTGAAATTGAACCCAGAATTCTCCAGCCATTTTGGAAGTTCAGAATTTATAGTGTCCAGAGTAACAACAACAATGGGAATACCTTCTTCATTGACCAATGTTTATAAACATCATTGCTTTCCTGTATTTCTTCTTTGTTTCTGAGACTTTATATGTCCTTTTCTTTCTTTATCTGTCACCACACTGTCTGTTTTTCCGTTATATTTGATCATGAAATCCCACAAAAAAATATGATGATGACAATGATGATGAACAACAATTTACTCCAACAATAACGTTGACAATAATAATAAGAACAACAGCAACTACAATAATAACAGCAATAATATAATTAAAATAAAATAAAAATATATATCCTTGATTATCATGAATTATCTCCCTTGAATTTCGCTCTTCAGAAAACGCTTTTTTTTTTTGGTTCAGTCGCCAACAAAAACTTCGTTAGACGACAAAAACAAAATAAAAAGAAGTTAATTATTTGTGGGTTGCTCATTTAGAATTTTAGAATTCCCCACCCTTTTCGCTGATGTTGCATTATTTTAAGGAAAACACATCCGACGAATGAAGACGGAAAGACGTAAGTAAAAGATTTGCCCATTTTCTGTACAAGTGAATGACGGACTCATCGGGTTAATAAAAGGATCTTATTAAATTTTGATTAATAAACAGATAGAAATAAATTATTACAAGGAAATATTTTTTTTTTAACCTTTATAAAATCAAGTAAATTGCCAATCTGTTCGAAATATGTACTCAAACTTGAAAATTATTTTAAAAATCAACTAAAAAAAACTTTTGATATCTGTTCATTGGCTTCTTAAATTATTGAAAAAGAATTTTAAAAGGACGATTTTTTAAATATTTAAAAAATCGCTGTATGGTACGTACGTCCAAAAATTCGGTATAAGATTATAAATGTATTTTCACGTCTCCATCGATAATTTGATGGCCGAAGGTGTTGCGAGGTTTCGTATGGTAGACCAGAATTGACATAAGTGAAATGGTCTTCTTAAAAGATCCATTTTTATAGATTTTAAATTTGAAAGCTTATTACAATTTGAAGAGTGTTTCTATTTTTACAATAACTTTTTAATATGCAAAAAATGTATTAAAAACGTTTCCGGCAAAAATACGAAGGCACACTTCAGTAATAATATCCCGTTTTAAATGTTGTTTCTCCTGATAGCAAGGATCTGGCCTCATAAATTCCATTGATTTCCTGTCAGATTCTCTGACCGACTGACCATCATTGTCGTTTTTTCAAAATTTTTAATTTTATTTTTATTTTTTTTTAACATATTTCACTAAATATTTTCTTTTCATTTTTTAAATATACTTAATTTTTTTCTTTTTCAGTGAGAGATATACTGCAATTATTAACATTTGTTTTTTAGATTAGGGACGGAAACATTGTAGGTTTTAGATACAAAAACGTATAAAAAAATATTAATGAAATATTAGACATCCATCCGATAAATTGCCCTGATGTTAGTTGTCGATACATTGATGATTCAATTCACACCTTCAAAACCAATCACCAAGGTTATACAGGCTTGTCTTATTTCTGACTAATTTTTTTCTGCTAAGAAATTAAGTAATGTTTGTTTCAAATTACATTAAGTTACTTTAAATTTTCTAATTTTCCTAAAATACATTTTGAAAAAAGTATAATTGAATTTTACAAGATTTTTAAACAGAGAATTTCACTTTTATTTACAAAGTTGTCAAAAATAACTGACATGATTGATTTTATGTAATTTTTTTCTTAAGATTATAATGTCCTCAGGACATTATAGTTTTAAGAATATTTACTAATCATAAATGGAAAAGCTTAATAATATCATCAAACACCAATATTTTAAAAAGAATTTTGAATTTTTTTGTATATGTATACTTGTGGTGAATTTTGTAAGTACTAGCAACCATACACAATATTATCAGAAAATAAGAGCAATAAATATAGTAAATTTAAAGTTCTTAAAGTTTAAATTTAAATTTCTAAAACTCAATAAAACATTAGATTATGGAGAATATTTTCTGAAATTTTAAAGATTATGGAGTACTTAAAAATTATATATGTCGGGTAAAAAGAAAAGATGTATTTCTTTGATATTTTGAACATAAAGTAAATAATATTTGTTTCAGATCAGTTAATACTACTCAAATAAAGTTTCAGAAAAGTATATTTTATTTCTGGAAGATTTTTTAATAAAGAGAATTACATTGCGATGAAAGATGACTAAAAAAGAGCATTACTCAGATATTTTATTGCAAAAAAAAAAAAAAACTACTGGTAAATTTTTAAAATACAGCAAAGTCTTTTCCTTTTAAATTTAATGTATTAGCTTGAAATTAAAACTAAAATAAAAGGTTCAAGAAAGACTTCATTTTTAAAAATTCATTTTAAACCTTCTGAGATGAGGTGTTATGATTACTTGCATTATTTAAATTATTTGGACTGTTAGCCTCATCTTCATTGCCATATTCACAACATTTCAGCCATTGTGCTGGCCTTCTTAAGGTGAATGGAATTTCAAACTGAACCCTTTATTTCATCCACTGGGGTAGATTGTTCTAGTTCCACGTGTTATGTCTCTTCCAAATATCTCAGTTATTTCTCTTTTTAGTTCACCACTGCTGTGTCCTGGTATAGTGATTTTCCAAGCATAGCTTAGATGTAGCATAAGGCCGAAACTGTGGGGTACACAATGAGGATTGAATTCACTACTCAGTGGTAATTGTTTTACCGAGACAAGCTTGCTAACCATTACACCACCTCAGTAATTGAATATGAAATATGAGATTTCATTGAAATACAAGTCGAGCCCAAATTTTATAATTAAATCATGTACTAGTTTCCTATGTCATTAATAATATCTTTTCTTAATTTGCAGATGTCAGTTGCAATGTAGAATCACCTGATGACCTTCTGGAGACTGTAATCATCACATTTGAGAATGAAAAAGAATCCATACACATGTAAAATGTTTTGATTTGCATTTTAAGTTGCAAAAATGATATTTGCAGAAACATAGAAAAGATAAAAAATATTTCCATCAATAATGCCAGTATCATGGAAATTTTCTCATATTAAGATAATCATACAAAAGAAAATTTGTGAGGAACTATATTCATATAACTTGTGCAATGCTTCATTAAGTACTGATTTAATAAAGGATATTCAAATGCATACTGACAAAAAAAGAAACTATTCATGTGAGGTATGTGGAGTGACATTTTTACTAAATACCCATTTAAAACAAATGCAAAAACACTAGTAAGAAATCATTTTCTTGTAAGGTGTGTGGATCAGCATATTCAACAAATAAACATCTGAAAAGACATGTAAACACACTGGAAAAAAAAACATATTTTTGTTAATTTTGTGGAATAATATTTTCAATGAATTCTACTTTAAAAATGCACACTCAGACACACATAGGAGAGAAACCACATACTTGTAAAGTTTGCAGAGTAGCATATTCATCTACTTCTTCTCTAAAAAGACATATGCAAGTACACACTGGAGAAAGGCCATATTCTTGTGAATCATGTGAGCAGACATTTTCACAAAAGGTAAATTTAAAAACCCACATGAAAACACACACTGGAGAGAAACCATATTCTTGCAAAGTATGTGGGTCAGCATTTACAATAAAAACAAATTTAGAAAGACATATGCGAATACACACTGGAGAAAAACCATATATTTGTGAGATGTGTAATGCAACATTTTCAGTTAATTCAGCTCTAAAAAGGCACATGCAGACACACAGTGGAGAGAAACCACATTCTTGCAAGGTTTGTGGTTCAACATTTGCAAGAAATTCACATTTAAAGAGACACATGGAAGTACATAATGGGGAGAAACCATATTCTTGCCAAATTTGTGGATCAGCCTTTTCAGAGAAGAGAGCTTTAAAAATACACATGATGATGCACACTGGAGAAAAACCTTATACTTGTGAGACATGTATGCGAACATTTTCAATAAAGATACATTTAAAAACGCACATAAAAGCACATACTGGAGAGAAACCTTATTCCTGTGTAGTATGTGGGTTAGCATTTTCAGAAAATTCCACATTAAAAATACACATTCGAACACACACTGGAGAAAAACCGTATTCTTGTGAAGTGTGTGAATCATCATTTTCAGAATATTCCAATTTGAAAAGACACATCCGAACTCACACTGGTGAAAAACCATATTCTTGCGAAGTATGTGGATTGGCATTTTCAGATAATTTCAGGTTGAAAAAACACATTCGAACACACACTGGAGAGAAACCATATTCTTGTGAAGTATGTGGATCAGCATTTTCAGAGTATTCCAATTTGAAGAAACACATCCGAACTCACACTGGAGAAAAACCATATTCTTGTGAAGTATGTGGGTTAGCATTTTCAGAAAAGTCCAGTTTAAAAAAACACGTTCGAACACACACTGGAGAGAAACCATATTCTTGTGAAATATGTGGATCAGCATTTTCAAATAATTCTCATTTGAAAGTGCACATTCGAACTCACACTGGAGAAAAACCATATTCTTGTGTAGTATGTGGGTCAACATTTTCACTGAGATCAGTTTTAAAGAAACACATGAGTATACATTGCTTAGAGAAAAGTTACTCAGATTTGACAGTTCAAATATAAGTGTGCACATTGCATAGAATTATTACGATTCTATGCAACAAACCCTTGAAGGAAAATTTGGTTTAAGCAGCAATTTTTTAAATTACCAAAAATCGCGGAATTATCCAATTTAAATGAATATTTCAGTACATATTCATTATTTGCTTTTATAATGAATAGGTTTTTTATTTTTTAAAATTCTGAGAAAATGTTAATGTGTCACTGGTTAATATTATTTCCAGAAGTTTCTAAAGATTCATATCTCCTAAGAATTTCACTTCCCAAAGCTTTGTAATGATGATATTTTATCACTGTAAAAATAAACTTGCCATCAGTGATGATAGAAAATAAAGATAAAAAAATTCATCATCTTAAAAACAACCTTGCCACCAGTGATGAAAGATGAAAGATATTTCATCATTCTAAAATCTGATTATAAAAACGACCCTTCCACCACAAGTGATGACAGGACAGGAAGTCAGGAGAGTAGCAGTGAGAAAAAGGCCCAACACTTGCATTTGTAAAGATTTTCAGCCATCATCTTTTGCATCTCATATAATAAGGGATATACTTTGCCATCCAAACATTGAGCAAGGGTTTCAGCATTCCTGTACACATCACCTGATGTATCATTGGTTAATATTATTTCCAGAAGTTTCTAAAGATACATATCTCCTAAGAATTTCACTTTCCATAGCTTTTTACATTATTTGGACTATTGTCCTCATCTTTGTTGCCATATTTATTAAACGTTTCAGCTGTTGTATGCTCTGGCCTTCTTCAGGTGGTGGAATGTTGAACTGAATCCTTTATTTCACTCACTGCTAGTTCCATGTAGCATGATTAATGGATGTCAGTTATCTCCTGTTAATTTTCCCTCTGAAAGTTCTCCACTGCCTTAACCGGGTATTGAACTCACACTCTTTGGGTCCTGTCATTGGATCTAACTAATGCCTTTATCCACTGTGTCATGTGTCCTTCAGGGCTCAGTTTGACATTCCAACCACCTGAAGAAGGCCAGAGCATACAATGGCCGAAATGTTGTAATAAATATGGCAACAAAGATGAGGACAATAGTTTGAATAATGTAAATAGTGTACATAATACCTCAACTCAGAAATATAGACAGATTCCATAGCTTTGTTATGATCCAGAATGATATTTTATCACTCGAAAAATAACCTTGCCATCAGTGTTGATAGAAAATAAAGATATTTGATCATCCATGAAATAAAGATAAAAAATTCATCATCTTAAAAGCAACCTTTGCCACCAGTGATTAAAAATGAAAGATATTTCATCATTCTAAAATCTGATTATAAAATGACACTTCCACCACAAACAAGGGCAATCAGTAGAGTAGCAGTGATAAAAAAAGTCCAATACCCATGTATTCTTCATCCATCCTTGAAAATTGAAAACTGACAATGAAAAATGTTATCCTCACCAAAGAAATTCTCAGAACAGACAAAAACAAGTAGGTACAAACTTTTAAAGAAAACAAAAGAAATAGACTGAGGACATTTTAATGTACACCAACTAATATCTGTAATCCACGGCATGAAAATGAAAAAATACATTATTCTTGTTATTAATGTCTCAAGTCTTGTTGTTATCATTGCAGATTTCATTTTGTTTTCAGTATAAAAAAAGTAAAAATGATTCCTCTATCAATTACTGCTACAAATATAACAATGGGGTAACTTATGCAACACAACATCTTACCCCATTACAGCTTGCATCAGCTTTCAGCACCATCAAAATATATTATTGTACTAATCCACAATTTGGAGAAATATTTCTATTATACTGGACCCATAACCTGTTTACATAAACATGAGAAGAATTAAACTTGAATTTTATTCTTTTCAACACTGTGTCCCCTTCTCTTGAAAGTGCCAAGGTTTGAAACAAATTATGATCCAGAATAAAAAATTTCATCATCCTAAAAACGATCTTGCCACCAGTGATGAAATATGGGAAAGATATTTCATCATTCTAAAATCTGATTATAAAAGCACGGGAAGTCAGTAGTCTTATTGTTGTTATCATTGCACATTTTGTTTTCAGTATAAAAGAAGTAAAAAAGATTCCTCTATCAATTACTGCTACAAATATAACAATGGGGTAACTTATACAACACAACATCTTACCTCATTACAGCTTTCAGCATCATCAAAATATATTCTTGTTACTTTGTTCTAATCCACAATTTCTCATAGAAGGTTACTACACATGGTTTTGCATTTTTAAAGCTTTTCAGCTATCATCTTTTGCATCTCATATAATAAGGGATATACTTTGCCATCCAAACATTAAGCAAAGGTATCAGCATTCTTGTACACATCAGGTGATGTGTCACCAGTTAATATTATTTCCAGAATTTTCGAAAGATTCATATCTCTTAAGAATTTCAGTTCCCAAAACTTTCTTATAATCCATAATGATGATATTTTATAACCCTAAAAATAAATAGATTTGACTTTAGTGATGTTAATTCTAATGTCATTTCCTCAATGTATTCCGTGTGTATGTTAGTCATTGCTGGTGATAATGGTGATCCCATTGCCAAACATTCATCCTTCCAGGCTCTAGTCAACTATGATTTTGGAAGTACATCCATTTACTGTTGTATCATCTGATATCTTCAAAAGATCAAAGTATATTTTTAGGCAGATGGTTAATGTAAAGTAGAGAGTTGAACCAAGAAGAAAGCTTTTTCCGATGCCTGCATTGATCTGGGCATTGGCAGGCTGGCAATTAACAACTACTTTCAAGTATCTATCCCTTAGGGAGGACATAATAATAGAGAAGATTCTTCCAATGATTCCATAGCTCAAGAGCTTGTGTAGCAACCCTCGATGCTACACCTTGTCAGAGGCCTTCAATATATCTAATACAATCATTCTTGACATGTATTTATTGAATGGTGACATTTGAAGAGGTATAGTCTGGTGAATGTTGGCTTGTGGTAATGGATGTCTTGAACCCTGTTCAATATATTAGTACATCCAAGAATGCAAGTTTGTTGTTTTATCTCCTCATTGAGAATTATATCAATGGTTTCCTTCTATTTAAATGAGCTGGGCCTCTTCTTTGTGGCGTGAGAAGGTACCATCTATGTATTTAAGTTGTTTTAGTGTTGTTAATTCTAATGCCATGTCCTCAATGTATTCCATGTGTATGTTAGTCAATACTGGTGATAATGGTGATCCCATTGCCAAACCATTATCCTACCAGATGATCAATGTAGAGAGTTGGGCCAAGAAGCAATCTTTCTCAGATGCCTGCAAGTTTCATCAATAATACATTTTTAAAATAAAAATAAAAATATTACCAGCAATACATTTTGAAAAAAAAACATTACTGGCAATAAATTTTTGAAAAAGATGGGAGCTCTTGAAGATTACATCTTGGCAGCAAGGAAAAAGATTAATGAAGAGAAACAAGAGGGAGGCTTGTTCGTGTTTTGTTTATATAAGGCTGTGTCACACGTGACAGGCTCCGAAGCTTGTACGCGGGAAAATTATTCCTTGCATGCCGGAATTGACCAATCAGCCAGTTAGTTTTGAGGAGATTAACCAATGAATGCTTGCTGTCGAACAATCACGTGGTCAAGATAAACACTCAGTTGTGGAGCAAGCTGAGTGAATAATGATTCAACATTGAGGAAGAGAGTTATTTATGGTGCAATGGAGCATCTCATTATGCTAAAGTGGGATAGTCCATTGCTTGGGCTGTGATTGGCTGCTGGTACCTGAGTGGAAGTATTTCTATATAAATACCAGCTTAATTTCTCAGTTAGTTTGCAGGGTTTGTATTAAGTTACAACCTGCTTTATTTTTGTCTGCCAGCTGGACGCTAGCTGGAACTCTTACGCCGGTAAGTGTCGTTTATTGTATTGTTATTCTACACTTGCCGTATGATATGTATGTATGTATGTATGTATGTATGTATGTGCAATGTGTGATGATGATCGCTACAACCCTCTGGAGTTTATATTTTTTCAGCTTCGGTTTAATATTCAAATGTTCCATTGTTGTTCTTTTTCTTTTACTGTACCTCCTTGGTTCACTAATTTCTGGTGGCGTGGGTACATCAAAAATGTCATACAATATTTCCATCGGTACCTCTTTTCATGGACTTACTAAATCAATGAATCTCCATTTTAATTGATTAAGATATCGTTTATGTTCCCACCTTTGTCCCTGTACCATGTATGTCATTTGGCCGATCCGTTTTCTTAATAACGTCATCTTCCCAGAATTCTTTTTCATGTTGATACATTTTAAAAATACATTATCTCCAGGTATGAAGTATTTGCATATATTATCATTTCTTGATGCTCTCACTTTATGTTCTGGTAATAATTTATTAAAAATGAACTTAACCTTCTTGGCGAACATCAACTATGGAGGCAACATTCCAGACATGGCGATCGGGTTTTGGTGATATTCTTAAAACACTGAAAAATTGTTGTAGCATTACTTCAGCTGGTTCGTCTTCCTCCGATTACTGTCCTTTTAAACGTATTGACAAACCGTTCCGCTTGTCTGTTTTATCTTGGCTGATAAGGAGGATTTGTAATATGTTCTATTGCTAATAATTTGAAAGACGTGAATTGAGTCCTGTTATCTGAAACGACAGAGTCAGGAACACCAAACCTTGCAAAAATCTCATGTAGTAAATTTATCGTTACCGCAATAGTCGGTCTTCTACATTTTAATATTTCTGGCCATTTAGTGTAACTATCGACTACCACTAGATAGTATGCTCTGTTTAATGGTCCTTCGAAGTCTATATGTATTATTCTGGACCCACATATCAGTTTTCGGTCATAGTTGAATTTTTGGCAGACACAAAGGTCCATGTTTATCCTATCTATCTATCTATCTATCTCAGTTTGTTCATATCTCTATCTTTTTATGTATCTGTGAATTTGTTAAAATTTATTCTGTCTCAGATGCTCATATCATTGATCTACTTGTAGATGACTCTGGATGCTGTGGACTCTTCTAGTATTCTAACCTTCTCTAACCTTAAAAAGGCACAGTCCACATCGTACGCCTACGTACAGAAAAACCTCAACCAATGGAAATGGCAAGAATCGAACCAAGCAATTCCATTGGTCAATCAATCGTCTTCTGAAACAAGAATTGCGCCAAAACGACTTGAGCCACTTTTGAAAACCCAAATGTTATATAAAGGAAAAGCAGACAGCCCCATTCAGTGGAAGCGGAGCAGCAGAGTAGCTGTAATTACCAACCTTCAAGATGTAACATTTCACCGACTCCCGTCTTAGTCATCGCTGACCAGACGATAAAGAAAATTATCAACTTCATTCAGTCAGTTTAGCAAATTCACCGAGCAATTGCCTAATTACTCCACGACGTTCGGAAACATAATCTTGCCGCGCTTTTCAAAGAACTTTCACTGACTCACTTTGAACACTCAACGAACGACTATCGAAACTTTCCACTAAATTTCTTATACATATTGATTTATAATCATTACAAAAATAAGAAATACGAATACAAATACAAACACGTTCAAAGGTAGACTACTTTGACAAACTTTTGCAAAAAACTCTTAAATCTTATTATTACAATATTTGATACAAACAAGAAAATAGCAAACATAACGACACAGAGACATCAAACATTCCAGCAAACACATACAATTTACGCACGCATTAATACACATATTGTTCCAGTTTGTAAATGTTTAATTGTATATAAATGCTTTATTGTTTTGATCTATATATGTCTCTGTTTTTCCTTTGTTTGAAATCTCACGCTTGTTCGTATATTTGTTTGGGACACGGTTAGACACGCAACCGATAATAACAAAAATCCTTCTGATAAATCAAATGACCCAAAAGTCCCAACAATGCCATCTGACGAACCTGCCGACAGGAATGTTTGACAAGGATGGTTGGAATGAATGAGTCAAGAGAATCTGAGATTGGATAGAAGAAAGTGGGGTGACGAAATGAAGAAAAGGCCAAGATCTTGAAGAAATATTGTGTCCGCCGTGATCATGTGAACAGAGGAAAAGATTTCTTTTCACATTTATTTTTATAAAATGGTAAAGAGTAAATCTTTATAATTTTTATAATCTTCTAAATAAACATATCTGAAGGAGTGAAAATAATAGCGGTGTCAATGGAAAAACCATCCTTCTGAAACACCGTATTTTTTCAGACACAGAGTTCCATGTCTACCCTATTGTTATACAGGAATAAAATGTTGCTGCCAACACTGGAGTTTGAACACAGATAACTAGAGAGCAAACACAGGCAATCCCATTTATATAAGTAGATCACATGGGTAAAGGAAATGTATGTATGAGAATTAGTGTGGTGTCTAAGGGATCACTCTCCAAATTACTTCGGAAGTGTGCTTGTCAAACTCTCTGCCTCTGGGCAGAAAGGAATCCAGACGAAGCTATGTCTTGGGAGACAGCTACCCGACCCTGTTTTTGACGGGGTCTATAGGAAAATTTTGGTCGAACCCACAATAAACTTGGCCTTGTGCCACGTGGGGTGGTTAGTGAATATCTCACGATCCAGATTACATCAGAGTGTGCTGGCCAAACTCTCTACCACCGGGCAGAGAGGATCCCTAGACGAAGGGCAGAGTCTCGTCTTGGGGAAACAGCTACCCGATCCCGTTTTTTACGGGGTCTATGTGGAATTATTGGCCGCGTATACAGGCTTCGATATCCTACAATAAACTCAGCCTTGATCCACATCCGGCCATGTGGGGCGGTTAGTGAATATCATCACTATATGGATTACTATTCGGATCACTATTCGGCATTTACTATTCGAGCGAGTATTATCGAGTAAGTATTATTAGTGCGAGTGTTATTTGATGGTGTCACACACCAGTATTGTTCGACGGCGTTACTATAGTTGTATCTGCGATTACAAAGTCTCTACTACAACAAGAATTACAAAAGTGACATCAAATATTTGTTGACATTACAAAAGTGGCAACGAGTGTTTGCTGACATCACAAAACTTATCTATCTATCTATCTATCTATCTATCTATCTATCTATCTCAGTCTGCATATCTATCTATCTATCTATCTATCTATCTATCTATCTCAGTCTGAATATTATCTATCTATCTATCTATCTATCTCAGTCTGCATATTATCTATCTATCTATCCAAGCATCTGCTCATATCTATCTATCTATCTATCTATCTATCTATCTATCTATCTATCTATCTATCTATTCCAGCATCTGCTCATATCTATCTATCTATCTATCTATCTATCTATCTATCTATCTATCTCAGTTCGTTCATATCTCTATCTTTTTATTTTTCAGTTTGTTAAAATTTATCATTCTGTCTCATCATATCTCTCTTTCTATGTATTGCAAATAGTTGATATCGCTCTATCTCAGTCTGTTCATATCTTTGCAGCTTCTTTATATCTGTCGGAGTTACCTCCTCCTCCTATCCTTGAACCTGCAGAGGAACAGATCATTTCGACCTTGACCTCTCATTCATGCTCCTTACACACTGTTAACACGTCAGAGGGACTAGCAAATCCCCTTTTTAGTTAGGCTATATTACAAACCTAGTTGTAATATACTTCTAGTCATTTTTAGACCATAGTTATCTTTAGCTAACCTTGTAGCATTTTATTATAGAGACTTTTCGGTTAGCTTAGCCAATTTCTCTTGCTGGTCCCCCTCGTCAGAAGACAGTGATTTCTCCCTAGAAAAAGGGGAGGTCGTCGGCGGCCGCAACGGTCGTCTACGCAGGCCCCTTGGCCTTCATTGACCGATCTACGGGCTGTGTATTAAGTTACGCTCCCACTTTTTTTTGTCTGCCAACTTGACGATAGTTGGGAACTTTCTCTCTCTCTCTCTCTCCTTCCCAACACGTCAAGTTGGCATCCCGGCAATGACAAACAACGAGTTGGCAACACGAACTGCAGCAACTAGTTGGCACCCCGGCAACGACTCAGCTTCAACAACCAACAAAGATCATCCTGGCATCACTCAACATCAACAACCACCAAGCGATCATCCTGGCAACAACCCACATCAGCTTCACCCCCCAACAACGATGATCCTAGCAACTACCAACGCCAACCTCGACCATCAATGCCTGCAGCTTCCGGCTCACTCCTGCAGCATCCAGCTCACTCCCGCAGTTTCCGGCTCACTCCCGCAGTTTCCGGCTCACTCCTGTAGCTTCCAGCACTCCTGCAGCTTCCAGCACCTCCACCGTTTCCGACCATCTTCATTTCCTTTTCCTTTTAGAATAAACCTCTGTATATCATACATATCCTCGTTCTGTCGTCCATATTGTTTCACGGTCAGATTTAACGTCTCAAAAAATGTTAGCGGGCCTCTTGTGACCTCGTTCACCCCTTTCTGTGAAACGGGGCCACTGGACAACCCGCTACATATCTATCTATATCAGTCTGTCAGTCTTTTCATATCTATCTACCTATCATTCTATCAGTGGCGTAGCTAGAGTAAACGTCACCCGGGGCGGCCCGCTCAAATGTCACCCCAATGACCCCGATTCACCCTATGCTGAATGGTTAGCTGTAGCTAAATTTTCATACATGCTCTACCTCTACATTACTCTACTGACCGGCACGTTACGGTTTACATGTAAGATCCAAGACAAAATCCTATACCACAAAATAATCAGTTCAATTCAAAAGCTGGCTATTTTTTCCACTTTACCAGTGATACATTTAAAAAAAATATTCCAAGAAAAAATCAAATATTATCAAAATAATTTTGAAAAAAAAACCAGCAAATGAATTTTGGAAAAATAGTATTATTGGCAATATGTTTAAAAAAAAAATTTATCAGCAAAATTTTAAAAAATAAATATTGCCAGCAATACATTTAAAAAAATAATCTGCAAAAAAAAAAAAAAAAATTGCTAGCACTGCATTTTGAAAAAAATATATTACCAGCAATGCATCTTGGAAAAAAATATATTACAAAAGACATTTGAAAAAAAAAACATCCCAGCAATACATTGTTGAAAGAATATTAATATTTCAGAATCTAGAAGAAATGCTAAGAGATAGCAGTTGTCTATGCAGTGACAGAAACATTAGGCTGTACACACACAATCTAGATATTTATCTCTGTCAATTCATATGCTTTGCTATCTGTACATATCTAGATGAGCACGTGGCCAAGTGGTTAGAACGTTTGCATTCTGGTTATGAGACCCGTGTTCAAATGTCCCCCATTGGCGATTTGTCAGGAAGTAGACTTCCTAATGTTATCGGTGTTGATCCCAGTGTGCGGCACGTTTGGAAAGTGCCTGAAAACGATACCATGGGTTGACCCAAGTTTTGCGAGTGAAATTGGGTAGACAGCAAAGTCACAAATCATCGTGGCTTGAGCGTGCTGGCATTGTTCAAATTGTTGATCATGCTAGATAACACACTCTTTTCAACAAAGGTCTGCTCAGCATAGTTGCAGTGGGCTCTGGGTGTTGATAATAACATAATGCCTGAGCAAACGTCTGCAATAAGGATTGGCTAGATGCCATAGTAATCGATTATCTTCGAATGCAAGTGGCCATCCATACATATCTATTGCAGTCTGTTCACATCTATCTATCTATCTATCAATCTATCTATCTATCTATCTATCTATCGTGTATTATTTCATTATATATTAAATTAAATATGACTAAAAAGCATAAAAAGGGGAATTTAAAATATTTTTCATCCAACTTCTAGCGTATAACTGAGCTGGTACATTTTTATTAGGATTCAAGAACTTTTGAGAATTTCCAAGGGGTTGACATGGAACCCAAAATTCTCCAGACATTTTGGAAGTTCAGAATTTATAGTGTTCGGAATAACAACAACAATGGGAATACCTTCTTCATTGACCATTTAAACTATCATCATAGCTTTCCTGTATTTCTTCTTTGTTACTGTTACTTACGGCCTTTTTTTTTCTTTATCTATATCACCGTCACATTTGATCATGAAATCCCACAAAAATATGACGATGACGATATAACAACAATTTACTCCAACAACAACATTGGCAATAACAAGAAGAATAACAGCAACTCCAATAATAATAGCAATGTATAATTAAAATAAAATTAAAATATCAGTATATCATCCTTGATTATCACGAATTATCTCCCTTGAATTTCGCTCTTCAGAAAACGCTTTTTTTGGTTCAGTCTCCAACAAAAACCTCGTTAGACGACAAAAAGAAAAAAAGAAGTTAATTATTTGTGGGTTGCTCATTTAGAATTTTATAATTCCCCACCATTTTCGCTGACGTTGCATTATTTTAAGGAAAAGACATCCGACGAATGAAGACGGAAAAGACGTAAGTAAAAGATTTGCCCACTTTTTTGAACAAGTGCACGACGGATTCATCGCGTTGATAATGAACGGATCTTATTAAATTATGATTAAACAGATAGAAAGGTTTCATAAATCTTTAAGATTTTCCTTTTAAAAAGCAGAAGAACTGGAGAAAAAACTCTTGAAATGTTATTTATTTATAATTAATTATTATATAGAAACAGTTATTTGTATTTTCTACTGTTAAACCCGAAAAGACGAAAAATTGACAATCTGTTTGAAATAAGAACACTAAGTTGAAAATTATTTAAAAAATCAACTAAAAAAACTTTTGATATTTGTTCATTGGCTTCTTAAGTTATTGAAAAAAGATTTTAAAAGGACGATTTTTAAAAATATTTTTTAAAAATCGCTATATTTTATGGTAGGTACCTCTAAAAAATGTATTTTCACGTCTCCATCGATAATTTGATCTTCGAAGGTGTTGACAGGTTATGGTGGACCAGGATTGATATAAATTCTAAATAAGAACAGTTTGTTTTTGTTTTTTAACTACCAGGTAATGTTTAAAAATTAATAAAACATTTTCTGATATTTTTAAGATGCATTTTTAAATTATAATAAAAAAGTAATAATTTCAAAAATAAAAAAATGCCCCAAACTCAATAAAAAGTTTTAATGTCAAAAACTTCAGGAAGAAAAAATACCAAAGCCATAACTATAGTAAATTTAAATAAACATTATAGAGAATACTTTCTGAAATTTTAAAGATTAAGTACTTAAAAATTATAGAAAAAAAGGTGCTGATGCCATTTTTTTCAATTATCTTTAACAAATAAAATCTCAGTAGAAGTACATTAAATCTGTCATCATGCTGTCAGCCCATCAAATCTTGGTGGGGTGGGGGTGGTATTGTGATGATCTACATCACACACACACACACACATACATACATACACAAATACAAATCATACAACAACAAGCATTCATTGGATAATAACTCAACATTACTTTGTAATAGAAAATTTACAAATCACAGCAATGCAACAATTTTATAATTGCGCTATTTTCATGTAGTCGATTTTGTGCAATTTTGGGAGAAACGGATCCCAGAAGCTTTCTTGAGTCTCCCCAAAACTGATTGGTCAATGCCAACCAATCAGATTGTCTGCATGTGAAGAACAATTTTTCCTGCGCAGCAATTCACAGCCGATGATCACCTATATAAGCAAGAAATATTCTTAGATAATGAGTGAGATCTCAGAAATCCACGACAGTTGAAACCATGAGCCAATCTTCTCACTCACACCACCACTCATATGCTGAATATTCCCTACACTCACATAATCTTTTCTTTACACAGAAAAATTGTTGAAAACATTTATTACCAGAAACTATCACAAACTTTCTTTCAGTGAACTTTGGAATACAAATAATAGTTAAAGAGAGACAACTCTTGTTTTACTCAATGCCTTCCTTTCACATCTTTGTTTGTACATCTTGTTAAATACAAATTTTATGTGTAATGATGTCTTTGGCTTATCCTCTTTTTCTTCATGTTAGTTTGGATACCTAATCTAAGTTAAATTAATGTGGTGAAGTCTGCCACAGGCTACTGTTGGATTAATAAAATGCATATCTATGATATTTTAAACACAAAGTAAATAATATTTGTTTCAAATCAGTTAATACTACTCAAATAAATTTTCAGAAAAGTACATTTTATTTCTGGAAGATTTTTTACTAAAGAGAATTACATTGTAATGAAAGATAACTAAAAAAGTGTGCTAATCAGATATTTTAGTGCAAAAACAAACTCCTGGTCAATTTTTGAAATACAGCAAAGTTTTAGGCTTATTGGAAATATTAAATTTAATGTATTAGCTTGAAATTAAAACTAAAATAAATGATTCAAGAAAGATTTTTCATTCTTAAAAAATTCAATTTAAAACTTAGTTATCACTGTCTATATCTCTGAGATGAGGTCTTATGATTACTTGCATTATTCAGACTGTTATCCTCATCTTCATTAGCATATTCACAACATTTTGGCCTCTATATCTCAGATGAGATATTATGATTATTATGAGGTATTATTCCAATTACTTGCATTATTCAGACAGTTAACCTCAGTTTCATTGCCATATTCAAAAAGTTTTGACCATAAAATATAAAGCAAGGCAAAGTAAAACAATTATAAGACAGTAAAATAGAAATTGTTTGCACATAAGTGGGATACAGTCAAATGCTTGTGGTCTTCTGACTTTAAGGCAACATGAAAAATCTGTGTGTAAAACCAAAAATTGTCCATCTTTATTCACTAAGAAGAAATCCCACTATGTAGGATTTGTCTATAAATTTGAGGAGGATAGAGTTTTAGAAATTATTCCCAAACTTGGAGATTTTCTAAGCATAGCTTTGATGTGGCACAAGGTCGAAAGTATGGGGTACCGAGTGATGATCAAACTTACTATTACAAGTGAATAGTGAGTTAGATCACCATTGGGTACCCAGTACTTTTAGCCTTATGCCACATTTAACTAACACTTAGAAAATAAAGGGCATCTAGATGTGATATAATGGTTAGCAGTCTTCTCTCGCTATATCAATTGCAACCGAGTAGTGAGTTTATCACTTGGTGACCACAACTTTTAGATTGGCGCCATATCTAAGTTATTCCCAAACTTGGAACCAACATTTAACAGAAAGTTCACTCTTTGACACTATATCAGAGTTGAAATCTGCATTTATAACATATCTTTCATTTGTGGGAGGTAAGTCAAAACACAAGAAAACTATGACTAAAGGTGAGATATCTGGTAGAAAAAAGCTACACATTGTTGTAAATTATGCAACATATATGCATATATATATATATATATATATATATATATGTGAACAACATATATGCATATATATATGCAACATGTTATCACAGAGAAAAGGCCAAAATTAACCTTGATAAATCTGTTGGTTTGCAGTTGGACTTATACTGAAATTGTCTTTGCTCTGAAATTTTAGATATGGATTTAGTTAAAATTTTCATATAGAATATAATATTTGGTGATTATTATTAGAAATCTTTGATGTTGCGGTGAAAGAAAGAGTTTATTTGGATAAGTAAATCCTTGCCCTTTTCCCCAATTCTTAGGTTTTGTGTGAGATTTGTTTTATTTCATACAATTCCTTTTTAACAATGTTTTTGATAAATGAATCATAGAAAAGATAAAATAACAATTTGTACATTGTTTGAAGAACAATATATTCTGTCAATAATTGAATATGAAATATAAGATCAGCTGGAGTTCATTGTTCAAATATGACTTGAACCCAAATTTTATAACTAAATAACGTTTGAGTTTTCTATGTCATTCATAATATCTTTTCTTAATTTGCAGTTGCAATGTAGAATCACCTGAGTACCTTCTGGAGATTGTAATCATCACATTTGGCAATGAGAATAAAAAAGAAACCATTCACATGTAAAATGCAACATTGGAGAAAAACCATATATTTGTAAGATATGTAATAGAAGATTTTCAATTAATTTATCTCTAAAAGGACACAAGCAGACACACATTGGAGAGAAACCACATTCTTGCAAGGTTTGTGGCACAACATTTGCATGAAATTCACATTTAAAGAGACACATGGAGGTACATAATGGAGAGAAATCATATTCTTGCCAAATTTGTGGATCAGTTGTTTCAGATAAGAGAGCTTTAAAAATACACAGGATGATACACACTGGAGAAAAACCTTATGCTTGTGAGGTATGTACACAGACATTCTCAGTAAAGATACATTTAAAAATGCATATGAAAACACATACTGGAGAGAAACCATATTTCTGTGAAGTATGTGGGTTAGCATTTTCAGAAAATTCCAAACTAAAAAGACACATTCGAACACACACTGGGGAAAAGCCATATTCTTGTGAAGTATGTGAATTAGCATTCTCTGATTATTGTAATTTGAAAAGACACATTCGAAATCACAGTGGGGAAAAACCATATTCTTGCAAAGCATGTGGGTCAGCATTTGCAACAAAAGCAAATTTAACAAGACATATGCGAGTCCACACTGGAGAAAAACCATATATTTGTGAGATGTGTAATGCAACATTTTCAGTTAATTCATCTCTAAAAAGACACATGCAGACACACACTGGAGAGAAACCACACTCTTGCAAGGTTTGTGGTACAACATTTGCAGTAAATTCACATTTAAAGAGACACATGCAAGTACACACTGGAGAGAAACCATATTCTTGCCAAATTTGTGGATCAGCATTGTCAGACAAGGGAACTTTAAAAATACACATGATGATGCATACTGGAGAAAAGCCTTATA